TAGTAGTAGTAGTAGTAGTAGTAGTAGTAGTAGTAGTAGTAGTAGTAGTAGTAGTAGTAGTAGTAGTAGTAGTAGTAGTAGTGGTAGTAGTAGTTTTACTTCTTTTCTTATTTTTTAAACCGGTGTCTAAGGTGTGGCTTTGTTGTCACACGCAGAAGACTCAAGTTCGATTCCCGAGTGGGGTGGGGGGGGATTTTTATCGAGTATATCGGTCTATCCACTGGGATGTTGTATCGCCCTCAACCCGAGTTGACCCTGAAAGGCAGAGTCGGAAGTGCACCTCTTTAACGATCTAACTTACGGTGGAGGGGAGGAAGGGGGTTGAAAACACCTACATTTAAAAGGTTTATTTAAATGTATTTTTTCCCTTACCCATTTATATGAGACAGACGCCATCTGGTTAGTAGAAAAAAGTGAGTATGATAGCGTCCAATAGTGTATTACGTGCAAAAAACTGTTCCAGATAGAGATCCAAGGATTACATACCAGTATGTAAGTCATTGATCTGAGAGCAATTCTGATTTTAGAAAAAATGGTGGTGATGAGCGATGATGTGGGATTGCGTTTAAGTAATGTTAGCGTTAGTCCTATCTTCCTCTGATCCAATGAGTCACGAGGGACGTGGGCGGGCACCCTCTAACCCGTTCCCTACTGGAACCACCTTTACTGTCACCGTCCATCAATGATTTATTTATAGATGCACCAGACATCCATGTCCTGGTGCTGTCACCGTGAAGTTCCGACCTACATTAAAAAACTATTATTTTTTAACTCCTCAGAGTCAAAGAGCCCACCATGAAGCTGTTCTTAGTTCTCACACTCCTCGCGGCGGTTTTCTGTGGAGGTTCTGAATCCCGCACAGTTGTGGAATCGCCTGCCCAGAGTAATGTGTTGGAAGACTTCCAGTCCGACTACCCCGTGGGCGACGCCCGGTGGTGCATGGACAGGGCCAGAAAGAACAAGTTCGATCTTAACAGATTTGAGGTACGTTCAGTTTAGTTTAGTTTTTCTTTGTTGCTGTTGTTGTTGTGGTCGTTGTTGTTGTTGTTGTTGTTGTTGTTGTTGTGTGTGTGTGTGTGTGTGTGGTAGCCTATCCGTTCGAAATGTCTGGAGTCCCGAAGAGCATGCTCTTCGCCAGGGCCACCGCCTCCCTTTGTTGTTGTTGTTGTTGTTGTTGTTCTTCTTCTTCTTCTTCTTCTTCTTCTTCTTTTTCTTCTTCTTCTTCTTCTTCTTCTTCTTCTTCTTCTTCTTGTCGTCACTATCATTTATATCATCCTCTTCACTCAATAGTAATGAGCATGAGCAACAGCAGAACCATGTTCAGCACTACAGCACGCCCTACCCTTCTACAAATAGTACCAGCAACAACGACACGATAATATCAGATTTATGACTACAGCATTCCCTAACAAACTATTAGTTTTGCCAATGCTAAAACCAAATCTCACCTTTGACCCCATTATCGCCTTTCGTTCGGCCACACGTATAAGCGAGGCAGCGTGGTGGAATCAGGCTCTCGTCAAAATAATCAAAGTGAAGAAACTTGCAATTTTGCGCAGGTTTGAGAATTTTTCTCAAATTTTTGTTTTTTTGGCTCTACACCTTTCATGCCCATTAAAGAACTAATTTCTGTGTGGATTAAAGGCACAAAAAATGTAAATTTTCATTTGCCACGGAATCTTAAGCTAAGAAAATAACTAATCTTTGGTTGCCATTTTCTCGCTAATTTTACCTTTGAAAACAGGTGACCCCCACCTCCTTCTTTCGCAAATACCTCGACTTGTATTCAAGATAAAAGGATATTTTTTTCATCCAAATAAAGACAATTGAACAATCTTTAAGATGATACCAATAACTCTACATGCCCCAAAATTGACGAGAGCCTGATTCCACCACGCTGCCTCACATATAGATAGCATTGTTTGAAAGCAGGTCAACCGTGCGAGAACTCCGTGATGTCCCAATATTATGGCATCCTGGAGACA